CAAGATGTTCTGAAAATGGTCGCTTCTCTGTACCACTCCAGTAAGTATCTAACTCATTCTGTCATCCTTCATTTTTACAAGAGCCAGATCAAGCCGAAAATGCCGTACTGCTGCCATATGTGGGCAGGAGCTGCAGTTTCTCCCCTTTACGGTCTCGATAGAGTACAAAAGCGTCCCCTTGTGGGTGATGAATTATTTCCACGCCTACAACCCTTTTCTCAAAGACGAAAAGTCTGTTGATTGTCTTATCGCTGTTTCCATGGAAAGTTTTCACGGCTAAGACCCGCCATATTATGCGGGACACCATCATTCTCTTCGTATTCGACTGATGTGATGCAAGTTCCACTCGAAAAGCTACTTCCCACAAACCGCAGCATTGTGGAATTGACTCTCAAGAAGATGCATCCCCGATTACTACAATTTTCACGTGTTAATATCTAGAGTTAACCGTTATCTTCTCCACATAAACTGTGTCTATTACTCTGCAACGCTCTGTCTCGAGTGGCTCTTGGGACTTGTAATAAAATAGTGTACCCATAGATTATTTAAGTATTCAATTTGGGCATCTTTTCTTCCAGATATTATGAATACGGACACTGACAATTTAAAGAAATTTTAAACTTCGTTTTAAAGCCGCTGAAGCTGTTCGTCGAATTAGTGGAAGAAAATTTAATGCTCACACGAGATGAAAAATAGAATTAAAAAGTCAAGAGTTTCGAAACAAAGATGTTCAGGTAGTAGCGACTCAAAAAGACAAGTTGGCAAGTAGAGTTCGAATTCTAGTCAAGTTCGTTACATTTCCATCCATATAGATACCCTTAGGAATGGTAGGAATACATCTCCTCTCTCCTCAGATTTGGGTTAATCGGAAGAGCAGTGGTTGGAAACTGTTATAGAAGAATGACAATTCTTAATTCAAAATCGTATGCAGCCCTAAACAAACATGGAAAGGATTATGTAGATTTTAATTAACTGCGGTGTTGATGGATTGTGGACTATGTCCTTGACTCTGGTCGGTGAAGAGTGGTAATATTTAGTTCATGTTTCTCATATGATAAAAACTAAAGGAAAAAGGAAAATATAGATTTTTATAACAATAACTGTAAACGGATTGGGGTAGTTGAAAAATTCTAAAAAATCAGCAGTTGGTGTTAGAAATCCAGGTAGCGTTTTATTTACTCTTTTTTTCAAGGTATATAAAACATCCTAACTTTGAAGCTTGAAATGACACAAAGTTTCTTATTCTCTATAGCCCACTTTGATCTTCTTCCAGGTAAAAATCAGTTTTAGTCAGCATCTATGAGACAACTCGCTGTAAAGGAATGTTTAGCAATCAATTCTAATAGACTATCAGTACAGTAACGAGCTTGAATCTCACCTGTTCTTTTGACATATTTTAAAATTAAGCACTATAAATCTCTATTAATGTAGCGAGTTAAATCAAGGTTGTATATTCTACAGTTTCATGCCAGATTCAGCCAGGCTTTCTAAATGCCTAAAACTTGTGATTTCGTCAAGCAGACTTGGTTCTATAACCTTGATTGCTAGTTTACATGAACTGAATGCAAATCTATTCTAACATATTATTTGGCAACTTGGCATGGTTAAGCTCATTCAAGGTGTTGTGAATTGCGAGAAGGTCACACAATGTGCATCGAAGCTTGGCCGGGTCATTCACTGAAACCGATCCTATATCACCACTGATTCCTCGATGTGAAGAAAGAAGGTCGGAAACAATGCAAACATTTGTACACATAAAAGTCACTCAGTAACGTTTCTTCAATAGAACCACAGAATCATTCGCTGTTATAGAGCATGTGTGAGTAGTGTAACAGTTAGCCACCCGGAAAGAGAATTTGGCGAATCGAGTTCGAATTCTAATCAAATTCGTTACGTTCAATTTCGTGCAAATACTCTTGGTAAAAGCCATGAATCCATTTAATTTTCTCTGTCAAAAAGTAGGATATTTAACAGCGTAGAATGGGCTTGTCTTGATGGAAAAAACTTAATTTAAAACAAAGCTGAAGAGTGAAGGACTTCAAGGTATCTTGCCCTAGCTACACCCTTGCTGCAGTACATGTGGTGACCCTAGACTGATGGATTACGGGGACTCCTTACTGGCGCCAACTAATTTTAGCAGCTATCGATTATATCTTGATAAAAATTCCTTGTAAATCAGAATATAAACTTTACCCATAAATGCACACAACGGAATGACTAACGTTTAAAATTATTTCAGCCCAAGCAAGACGATAGTCACTAAGCTGCAAGGGGTTACTGAGATTATTGAGGGAGGAAAATAGAACAACATGATTCATTGAGATAGAAGATGACGATTGAGGCTGCACTTAAGTTTTTGAGGATCGTAATTGGCATAAAAACAAGAAAATGGAAGAGGGTTCCACAGGTGAGAAGTGAGAGAGATGAAGCATTCAACCTGTCACACATTTTTTGTCTTTTTAATAGAATCCTATAATATATAGCAGATTTTTACGGTGAACATTAAAGAGTTAATTGCAAATAAAAATATAAAACTATTTTGATTATGTAATTATACTGGAAAGTAACCTAAGCTTTTCTCAGATAAAAATAAACATTGATATCTGTCATGAATATTTGTTTAAATTTGGATCTTTCGTTCTCCTGCTTCATGTGCTGTAGAAAACAAAAACCATCACTTCTGTACTCAAATTCATTGTACAGAAGACCACCCTGCCTCCATATGGTTGTATATTTTGATTTCTTGACACAGTTACTTATTCACGTTGGAGTTTCAGTGTGAAAGAGGACACATGTGATATCAGGTTCAAAAGTCAGGGAAGGAATGCGAGTTATTTGAACGTTCATTCGAAAGGAATGTGGCGCAAGGTCGTGTTTAAAATAAGGGGTTCCATAAATACCTGGGACCAGATATCAAAAACAGTTCAGTCCCCTTGGCACTTTCCCCTTTTAGGGACGCCTAAAACGACAGGGATTAACTTTAGCTTACTCTCAAATGAGAGCTAATGTCTGGAGAGACGCTTATCAGGACTGTACTCCGTTAATTTATGCTCCAAAATATCTTGGGCAAATAATGTGGATAAAGAAAACTATCGGCGGACACATGATTAAGGGAGCGAGGAATGAACTAAAATAAGACGACGACTCACATTAAAGATGAATAAATATAGAAATATATCCAATCAACTGTGCCTATTATAATTTGGCTTTTCATAAGTTAGGAACAAGATTTTAATAGTTTTAGAAACAAACTTTATGTGCTATGTAATGTATTACAAAAATGGTAATATATTGAATTTAACTTTGTAAAATATTCATTATATTCTTTAGTTAAATATTGCTATTAACGTACATCTAAAGTATTACAGATCGTAAATGGTATATACTGCCACACCTCGACACAATCTGTGGACAGGAATTTTCCTCCGTCGATACAAAACTTATGATATCATGGATATATATCGAAGAGATATACAAGGTGCATGCCAGAATTTTCTCCAAATTTTCAGAAGAGACCTTTATTTCAAAACAAATCCAAACTAGCGCTTCAGCCACTTCTTGAAAGAATTTTCGTATTTTTGCATCATGAAGATATTCAGGCTACTCGTCAAAGACTTATCACTTCCACGTATATCTATATGTTAATCTATAAGCAGATTAATCATTTGTAGATTGTGGGTTAATAACGGTAAACATATCGCAAAAAAGCATAAAGGAGATTAGAGTTTTGTTTTGACTCAAATATCTCCAAGCATCTGGAGTGTATCTTGTATGTACTTATTAGCTCCGGTCCTGGGTATGACGATAAAATACATCCGATAGCAAGGTCCATAACCAGGAGACTGGATGTTTTCAGGAGCGTTGAACTACTTATTAACTTCTCTTATTCAGGTTCAGTTGGTAGCACTTATTAGGGTCATAGTTATGGGCAATCAGTGAACCCACAAACTAAAATTGAAATTATAGGAAAATGTAAAAATACAGTGTAACCCGGATATAAGAAACCCGGATATAAGAGAGAATTTCTTTGGTCTCAAATTAGAGCCTGTGTTAATGTAAACAAAATAGACCAAGCCCAGATATAAGAGAAACCCGGATATAAGAGACTTCTTCTCCGGTCCCGACAACTCTCTTATATCCGGGTTACACTGTACATTTTTATAGTAAAAATATCAGCAATTCATTTTACATTAAAAAAAATAACCAGAAATACATTAAAGGAAAAATGACCAATGCATTTTTAAAGTATAATTGAAAACATGGCATACATTGTCAAAAAAATATTAAAAAGAACAAGCAATTTACTATGATTAATTTAAGCTTTCACTCGTTTGATTTTGTAAGATTAATAGGTCTAAGTAAACAAAAATTTAACGAAATAATGTAATTCTCTGAATTTAATTATAAATGTAGATTTCTGCATTAAATAACCAATACGTGTTGATATGAACCTAAACAAAAAACAACAAATCCAAAGTTGCTAGATCTACATCATATTGTGTAACAGGTAGTAGTAAGCTGTTCTTGATACTCATGACTACGACTAGTGAATAGTTTACTAAGTGTTTCAAACTGCTAAGGTTGCGCCAGAACAAATATACGCTTATTAAATATCTCAATCTCAACTCGCACAGTGAGTACTTATGGTAATAAAACACAATGCTATTAACGCTCGATATTCAGCACTCGGCCACAAATCTTGCTTGCTTTAATGCATCTTCAAATCACTGAAAAACCAGCAATTTTGGCTTTAAAGCAATCTTTCAAATGAACACACACACACTTGTGTGTGTGATGACCGCAAACATTTAGGAAATTTGCAGGACAGCGAGCAGCTCGATTAACCGTATAAAAAGCCTTTGTTAATTTAACAAAGACCAAAGATCCATCCTTTGCACTACACACTTCTCCTGGATCTGCCTCATAGCTACTGCGACTCGATCATCGTGAAAACCACATTGTGACTCAGGCAATACCTCGTCTGCTATACAATACCTTACCAACGACAGAGAGGAGGGATATGTTGTAGGAGTTTCCACGCAGGTCTTTTGAACCTTTCCCCTTGTACAGAACAACCATAAGGGAATCTTTCCAATCTTGAAGGACGAGTTCATCCTCCCACACCTTTTGCATAAGATCTGTTAGAATATAGATGAAGCTTTCACTACCACATTTAAAAGATTTCTGCGCTTAGAATATCTATGCTTAGTTAGTTACTTAGTTACATACATACATATATGCATACATACATACATACTCTACTTAGACGTAATTTTTAGTGGAAAATCGTATTTGATTACACGCTTAATAAACAGTATTTTCGTCTACCGGTCTGAATATTTGAAAAATCCGAGAGAAAAATATGCGCTCTCCAGCAGGATTCGAACCTGCGTTCATCTAATTGAAACCGTCATTAGCTCTAACGTGCTTTGACATCTTGGATACAGAGTACGTCGATGAACGGGTAAAGATGAATAGTGATGTAAAGATGAATAGTGCTTTTGAACAAGGATTTTTGGTACTTAAACTTTACTTTTAGTGGATATCGATATTTGAGTTGACGTTTCGTTTATTGATTCATCTTTGCTTTGTTGTCGACGCGCACTGTAGCCAAGATGGCTTCCCCGAGTGGAACGTGGAGTCCGAATCCTGCTGGAGAGCACATACTTTTCTCTAGTAGGATTTCTCGAATATTCAAGCCAGTAGACGAAAACATAAATATACTGTTTAAGAAATAAACTGACTTAGATTTTTAAATTTTCTGACTTGCTTGATTCTGTCCATCTTTGTGTGCTGTGTTCCTCCCGGACGTAGGCAATCATAGCCCTCCATGCCTTCCTGTCCCTTGTAGCCCTTAAAAAGCTTTGTCTTTTTGCTATTTCTCCCCAAACCTGTTCTGCCATCCATTTATTCAAGCGATCAAGTATGTTATCCTTTTCCCCTCTTTCCCTCAATCTTTCCTCTGAGTATCAGATTTTTTAAGTCCTCTTTCCTCATTATGTTCCCAAGAGTTTTCGACTGCCTCTTCCAGATTTTTAAGTCCTCAGCATATTTCAGTAGAACCATATTTTCATTGTTTCAAGTCTCTTCTCCATCTTTCAGGAGATGGTCAAGAATTCACTGCCATACAGGAGTACAGATACCACGTTCAGTACTCTTGTTTTTAACGAAGTTTTCCTGTCTCTTAATACTTGGCTTAGCTTTTCATGTGCATCTTTGGTGATCCCAATACGTCTTTGGATCTCAGAGCCTCACTTTCCGTCTTCTGTTAGAACACTTCCCAGATATTTAATGTTCCGCACTTGGTTTATTTTGGCATCCTCGTTCTGTAATTTGCATTTCGGGCTCATCCTTTTGGTGGTAGCCATAAAATTCTGTCTTGTAATTTAATTTTCGTCTTTTATCGCTTTCCTTCGTGATATTCTGTCGGAAGTTTTTTAGCTTGCATTTTGTAGTTTTCTTTCCGTGTCTGATATCAACATTACATCTGCATATCTTTTATTTTTTATGATTGTGTCCGCCAACAACAAATCCTAACAGGACATCTAATTCTCTCAGAACTGCCTCGCTGTATAGTTTGAACAAGTCCAGTGAGAAGACACATCATGTCTCATATGTCTTTCTATTCTTGTGTATTTGTTGAACTCACTTCCTATCGCTATGCAGGCGGTTTGCTGTCAGTATAGACCTGACCTACACATTTAAAGCGAGTTTTGCTGGAAATCTTCATACCAACTCCCCTAATTTGCAGGTTTTTTTAAAATTCTACTTGATATCCATTTATATATTCCTGGTAAAACTTTGGTCGTTTACTTCTGTCAATTTTTTTTTTTTATATTCAACAAAAACTGTTTTTGTTTTGTTAAACAAATTTCTGAATGGTCGCCATGTTCTGTGAATATCTAAAAGAACAATAAATTCTTTAAAGCAATTCCATCGCATATGCTTTTAAGCGGAAAGCATCTTAAATACAGTTTAACCCGGATATAAGAGAGTTGTCAGGACCGGAGAAGAAGTCTCTTATATCCGGGTTTGGTCTATTTTATATACATTAACACAGGCTCTAATTTGGGACCAGATAAAATCTCTCTTATATCCGGGTTTCTCTTATATCCGGGTTTCTCTTATATCCGGGTTTCTCTTATATCCGGGTCTCTTATATCCGGGTTTCTCTTATATCCGGGTTTCTCTTATATCCGGGTTTCTCTTATATCCGGGTTTCTCTTATATCCGGGTTTTCTCTTATATCCGGGTTTCTCTTATATCGGGTCTCTTATCCGGGTTTCTCTTATATCCGGGTTTCTCTTATATCCGGGTCTCTCTTATATCCGGGTCTCTCTTATATCCGGGTCTCTCTTATATCCGGGTCTCTCTTATATCCGGGTTTCTCTTATATCCGGGTTTCTCTTATATCCGGGTCTCTTATATCCGGGTTTCTCTTATATCCGGGTCTCTTATATCCGGGTTTCTCTTATATCCGGGTTACACTGTATTTGTATCCATGTATCTTCTTTTTTTTTTAAGATAATGAACTATGTTTTGTCCAAATATAAACGCATACAGAATATACATATTTTGCAAAGACTCAGTAAGCAGGAAGTTCTGTTATTTTATTGTAAGTCGTTCGAGTGTAACTGTTTTGGAAATTGGATTTACCAGCTGACTTCATTGTGCGGATGAAATGTCGCGCTGAAATATTCATCAATAAGCAGACAGACATAATTTCAGACAAGGTCTTTCATTGAAAATACTATAAGCAACTTGAAAAACTCTTTGGAACTTTCAGCACAAAGAATGTTATTTTTGAACAAATAATTTTGAAAATATTTTGAACGAGATAAAATACTTTAAAAAAAGTTCTTATTAATTTTGTTTCATTCTTATCGTATAATTTTGCATAGAAAATTCATAATATCGAGTTTTAGTTTAAATAAAAGCGCGACAAATTTATTTGTAAGTTTTACATTTCCTAAATTATTCTAAAAGAACTGAATTATACAATGCTTCTTGGAATAGATATTTCAATTAATGAATTCTGCTTCGGTTTAGTTAGTTTATTTGTATACCATCACTATTCGATTTAACGTGTTTGTTTAACGGCATATCAACTCCTCGTGGGTCATTTAATGTTAAAATTTAACTTCCTTGAGAGCTTTTAAGTAATAAACAATACGCTTTTAAGTAATAAACAATACGTTATTCTTCTTTCACAATTGAATACATGGTAGATGATACTCAGTATTTGTGCATATACATGTTTGTGTGGACATAATTATTAGCGTCGGTGATATGTGTTATGTCGTAGCATTGTTGAATATAATTTTTGGAATAGAGTGATTTCTTTAGGAAATTGTAAAATTATTATATATACTAATGTCATGAAAGTGTTCTTTCACGTTGGTTGGTTGATTGATTATATTTAGCGGGGTTTACTGTGGGTTTTTTTTTTGATACCGAAGTCTAAATATTTTGAACGTAATTGTATGCCTTCAAGCAAATATCTTTTGAGCACAACTGTATGCCTTTAACTACAGATAAAATGTATTGTACATTTTATCTATAAAATGTATTGTTTATAATTTTACTATAAATATACAGTGTTGGCAATTTTTTCTTTGTATAAAAATGTATTGGTGGTATTTTTACTATAATATATATTTTTATACTTTCATAGTGTTTGCTTTTGTTTTGAGGTTTACTATAGCTAGGATCCTAACAGGTGCTCCCACCCAGTTCAGGGTGGACCTGGGAACAGCAAATAATAGGTGGTCCTGTGCTTTTCAAAACCACGAATCTCCTGAGTAGAGGCATTACTGCCGGATGTAGTTTATCATTAAACCCAGGAGTAATCACTAATCGAAATATTACACAATGAATTTTGACATTCCTCATTACTCACAGATTCTTTAAATTGTTTGAAAAAAATCTGTCGCTTTCAGGTTGGCCCAAATTTATTTTATAATCCTGTATGACGTCGATACTAACGACAAGATAGGAAAATACAGGATAGGACGAAAATAGTTGGTTGCTCAGTAGCAACAAAATAGGGAATGCATATTTATTATCAAAAAATAAATTTAAAAAAATAAATTAATCATCAATTCAGATAGAAACGAAATAAAAATAAGATGTCAGTATTGGTTCAAAATTTTTTAATTGCGCCAACAAACGTAATTCCGTTTGCATTTATCAATTTTTAAGTAATGGCAAGTCAATTTTTTACGATTTCAATTTTTCTAAATGTCCTTGTCTATTAACAAAAAGGTGTTTGCTTTGGATCACAAGATTTGTTTAAATTACAAGTACATAACCGTAAAGACTACTTGAAATTATTGTGGTAGAAACATTTCCAAAGAACATAGCAATCCTGTTCATTGCTCGAAATATGGAAAGATGAGATGGAGCAAGAGGTTGGTTCATTAATATTCAACGGTTGGCAATTTGGAAAAGTTCAGACAAGTGATGGCGATTGGATAGGAGATTTTGTTGGATAAAAACGGCGAAAAATAGCAGAAATGGAACAATTTCATTAAAGCATTTGTACAACACTGGGGAGGATGTGGAAACGTCTACTCAGCGCAGCCACTGATTGTTTTGTCGATGATCAGTCGTCTTTTGTATGAAGACACATTTAAACATATCTACTTGGGCGCCTAACATTGAGGCCACAAATATTAATATCTCTAAAACATAATTAAACACAAACACACACGTGATTTTCTTATAAAACTAACTTATAAACGATATGCAAGTATCAAGGAAATTATCAGTGAGTAAAGATAACAGTTAATGTCAATATTATTATATTTTTAGGATGAGAACTTTTTACGTTATAATAATCTTGGAATTAGAGAGAATGTCTCTACATATTAATTTCATATTTAAATGTTACCCGAGATCGAACAGAGACCTGTAACACCGGTAGGAAATGCATAATTAACTTTGTTACGGGATATATTACAAATCAACGGAAATACTGCATTGTTGTCATCTTGGGGTCCCAATCTGTACATGTGGAAACCTCAGGAGATATTTTTTTATCAATATTTTTTCATGATTATCCTGTGGTCTGTTTGAAAGAATTATTAGAAGAACAAGTACTACAGAAACAAGGAGGAGAAGGACAAGAGTAA